ATTTCTATTGTGTGTGTGTGTGTATATATATATATATATATTTCACATGCTCAAAAGTCCAGTAATGTGAAACATCTCTACAAGGTTTGGAGGCAGCCCTTTTGGGTAAACTGAAATGGTAAAAACCCAGGTTTTGAGCATTACGTATTAGCAAAATATAAGAAAAATATCTGCTCCCTTTATCTAACCCTATCAAATTTCACTTTACATTTCCCAAGAAAATTACCAAGAGTCAAAAAGAAAACTGATTACAAATCCATCACTTACTTTTTCAGATAGTTATATGAAATGCATTGTATTTTACAAACAAGACATGCATTCTAATTATAGAAAAGTTTCATTGTTGTGATCTAAATAATTTATCTTAAAATAACTCTTACATTACTTTTAACTTTTTTATTCCCCTCCATTTATCCTGAAGCAGATACAACAAGATGAAACAATAATCTATTTTTTTCCCATGGGCTTAAGCTCTAATAAACTTTATGGATTACTTTGATTTACTTCCAAAAAAAACATGGTTTGACAGAACTAAAAGCTTTGCGATTAGACCAGTCAAACTCGGTCATACCTTCAAATTGTTTATATCAATAACGAAGACAAGAAGGTAGTAGGAGAATAACTTGGTATTTCAGTTGACATAGAATACAAAACTTTATTTTTAACACTACACGTAAGGGTCAATGATAAAGAGTATCAGCAAAAAAATAAGTCATTGGAAATGACAGTGCATCAGTCACATGGTACTTTAAAGCTTGATGCTTTAAAATAACTCAAACACAACATTTAATATAACCTAGAAATGTTACAACAAATACCAAAATTCACCTATAATTTAAAAAAAAGATTAAAACATACGAATATATTGCCTCTTTTGTATGTCTGATATCATCTGGCTCCCCTATTCCACCATAAGACTGCAATATTGTTTCCAGTGTTTCTGAATCATTCCGCAGATCTTGTGGGATATAAAATGGTCTTTCTGGATCAAGTTGTGGTATTCTATAAACAATGATAACCAAGTTATAATTACCTACTAATATCTAAATATTTAAATATCTTTAAAAACCTATTTTACATAGGTAATTCTACAGCTGCTCAAATGTTACTATTTCTTGAGACAGCAAAGTACTAAAAAAGTATAACAAAAATTTCAGTATTAATAACAAACAAGACAGCAATTTAAAAGTGTGAAACTAACAGAAGTTCATTTGCTGCTTGCTGTATCATTTCAATGCCTTTATCAAAAAAGAGTAATGTGCACTGTAGTTTAAAAACATTAGAAGATGATTAAATCAACTGATTAACTACAAGCTTGGACATAATCTGTTTTTCACCCAGAAAACTACACCTGTGGTAAAGCATATCAAGATCCTTCACAAATGTCATGTTTATGTTCACATCCATTTAGCAGCTGATTTCATAAAACATTATTAAATTAATTTTATGCTTAATTAGGTTCAATACTACAGAATAATGAAAAAAATGGTCTTACAATTTGAAGCAATATAAGGCTTATATTGTAATTGTCAGTGATTCACATTCAGGGTATCATTTTATATTTTTACTGGTTAATTCCAGTTAGTGCAAACAAAACAGAGAAACTGCATATGTGTTACTAAAATCATAGGAGTTTGAGAGTTGGCAGGCTCAGAACCTCATTTACATTCATTTAATATATTAGAGAATTCTTAAGCTATAAATTTCATTACACACAGAAAATTAAAATGAAGTTATCCAATGAACACAAAAATACTGAGAAAAAAAATATATACATACACACACAATAATCTTGCCAACTACCTTTGAATACTAGATAGGCCAGAACAATACCTAGTTCACTGTATTAGGCTTAAAGATCAGTTTTATAATATACATCCACAAAATGAATTAAATTTGTAAAAAATAAAATAAGATAAAAACAGCTCAAGAATGAAATATATTTTTAATATACTTAAATTTATTCTTCTTATCTAATTCTTTAGTACTTTTTGATTTATAAGTGATTCAATAAGTTATTTTTCTCATCTACAGTATACTCAAAGAATTATTCAATATACGTTTTGAAGTAAGATAAAAGGTTATATTTTTTTACATCAAGACACACAGTAGTGAGTTGTCTGGCCAAAACAACCCTCACAACAAAATGTTTTATTAACAGGAGTGATAGTTTAGCAATTTTCCACTTTCTGTAGCTCAGACTGTGGTAATCAAAACTATCCCATATTTTGATTGAATTTCTTCCTATATTTTTCTTCTTTGCAATAATCACACTGAAAACTTATTTGATAAAAAAACATACTTAACTTTGATGAATTTTTTTCAAATTTGGTATATTGATAGATGTTTATAATCTACAATTTGGTGTCAAATGTGGTCTGAATATAAGCCATATTTGCAAAGTTATTCAACAAAAACAGCTCAATTCTGACCCAAGTTTTTGAGCATGTCCACACAAAAAGTCACATAAGCTATCAACATGAAATCTTTACCACAGTTTCATCTAAGATTAAAAATGGACAATTTTAGTTTTTTGTCATTCAGATCAAAGACAGCTGTTTTAGGGAAGAAAAACTACCACCATATAATTGAAAGAATCTGGTTAGTTCAGTGAAATATGGGTTTGTTTCCGAATAATAGGTTTGTGAGCCTAAAGCTAATATTAGTTACTATCAAGTGTCACTTTCTTACTTGCTGTGGTTTGTAGGTGTGTATTGACAAAAAGTCATGATATCTAATCAGAAACACCTTCGGTGTGAATAAAAGGTGTAGCCAAAAAAGGATTGAGCTTGCAACTTAAAGGAGTGAAATCAAAATTGGTGTCTACACTGATAACATTGATAAGAATTTTACAGCAAATATTCATTCATTAGTTAGCTAGGCTATGTATTTTGTTTTTACCCACCATCATGCCCCAAGTTGAATAGAAAATAAGTGTATTTAATGTCTAATGACTAATGTAACTCACAAACAAAAGCATTAAATTCAATAGCCTATTACAAACATAAAATTAAAATATTTTTTTTAAAGGCAAAATATTCACACACACACACAGTAAACTTGCAGATATGTTTTATTAGTAGAAGATATTTACACACTGTGCACCTGAACAAGTGGATGCTGTGTAAAGAAATAAAAGTTCACATTAACTCTTTCTAGCCCTATTATCTCATGTTTTTACAGGGGTAAAATGCAACATCAAGTTTGGAAAAATTCTGAGTACTCCCCCTCAAACTACCTACAAACTAAAATTATAAGCCAAGTCTTCAGATTTCACATTTTCTTTTGATATATATTTTATTAATATTTGTTGTGGATAAAATAATTAAAACAAAATCCAAACTGCTTACCATAATTTCATTCTAAAACATTCTACGTTGTATGTCTCAAGTGTCTGCATTATGCCTATGGTGACGTTTATGAGTTAAGTTTTATTAATGCAAAAAAATGGAGAGTACAATGCCATCAGGTTGAAAAGGGTTAAGGTCATTTGATATTAGACATAACATCTGGAGTGTATGTACATATGAACAAAATATGTTTAACTCACCTATCTGCCTGCAAGGCACAGAACTGTAACCAATAATCATTACCTTCTTCCACCATTCTTTTATTCTCTTGAAGATGTTTAAGTCGTTGTTGGTATTCATTACTGAAAGAAGATTACATTTTCGTAAACACATTCATTAGTAGCTGGCAAGTTAACAAATTTTGCTATCCAAAATTTTATCACCCGATGTAGCAAGTATTGTAGTACCCAATTACATTTATTAGTTGCAAGTGTACGTCACATGATAAAAAATGCAGCATACTGTTAAAGAAGGATTAATTCAAAGTATTAGAAAATAATTACTTAACACTAAGATGAAACTCTTCTATGGCAACATTCTTGACACAACTCATATTCATACATATCTATCAGCTTTTAAATAAACATCTTAGCCACAGTTCTATGCTTAGCAACTAATAAAAGCTCATTGCTTTTTTGTTTTCAAAATTTGGACTCAGAAATATACCAGATACAAATGTTTAGGAATGCAGAAAAAACTTTGGGTATACATTGAGGAGCTTGTAGAGGTTATGCAAATGAAATGTGCAAACTTTATAAGAAAATTACAATCAGCATTTCTCCAATATGGGATGGGGTCAGTCCAATGGAATGTCCCTGTGCACCATTAGTTACATTTCTAATGATACTAGTTCCAAAACATTATCAACAATTTCTAGAGAAAATTTTTATCCCTTTGTCAATCATGATTGACAAAATCTATTCAAATAACATTTTAATTTATGTATCTTTTAAATATTTATCTTTTCCCCTTCTAATGATAAATATATTTACAATTTACTGATTTTTCTTTTTCAACTGACATAACAACAGAATTTGTATGTGCATGTGTTTGTGAAGGAGTAAATTTATTTACAATTTTACTGTAATCTGACCACTTAATCATTTTTGATTTCTTCTAATACTAAATTTTATTTCATCACAAGCATCAGGTAAACAAGATTTCATGAAAACCAGGAAAGTTTTTTTGAGCTCCCATTTTACTCTGCTAAAGATCTGTCATAACATTGTTTATATAAAAAGTTGACAATTATAATTATCAAAATTCTTTATAACTGACATTGTTTTCTTATTAAATATCAAAATTTATGAAAACAATTCACAGAAAATTGAGAAAGTAATATGGTATTATTTTTTCACATTAAAATACATTAAGATCCTTGAATCCAAAATCTTTAAAAAAATCCACACAAAATGCAAAGAGAGGTAAGTGAAAAAAAAAAAAAACTACACTGTACTTTATGTTCTGGTTGAATCAATTTAAGTATTTAAACTTGATGAATTAAATCTACCAAACTTATGAAATACATACATTATTTTGAAATAATACCAGGTTCATGTAGAAACAAAAACCAATATGATTTATTATGTATCAAATTTTAACTTCAGTTAAACATTAAAAGAAAATATTAAAAGTACTTTCCTTGCCTTACCACCCCCTTTTTTTAAAACGTTTACCCAAAACCTTATAAATATATTCAGTTAAGATCTCCTTCAATAAAACTATACATTTTCTGCATGTTTTTATTCTAATAACTGTAATTATATGTACATAGAATCACTGTCATAAAAATATAAAAGAACTAAATAAAACCAAAATTTTTTTTATATTACTGTCAAAACTTTTCATTATATATATCCCTCAATATATTTAGGTCTGCCTACTATTTAGCTCAGTAATAGAGTGGTTACTGCTACCTACCACGATATATATGGCTAAATTCAAGAATCAAAGAAATCTAGTGAGAAAAGGGTATAAGAGTGAAAGACTTCGTGATCTGAGACATAAAGTAAACAGATGATGTAGTACTGTCTGCAGTACCTTTCATGGCCCTAGCCACTCTCCTCAATAGGTTCAGTCATGAAGCTGAGGAAATTGGCTTGAAAATAAGTGTGTCAAAATGGATGAAGGATAAATGACAAAATAACAGATGCAAGGATGGATTAGAACTTTGAAACTGAGAAAGTTGATAATTTTATGTATTTGGGAATTGAAGTCCAAGAAGAAGGTGGTAGCAAGAAAGGTATAAAATGGCAGGTACTAATAGCTGGAGTAGTGTTTAATGCCTTGAATATGGCACCATGGAAGCAAAGTGATTTCACCATAAACACCAAGATGACAATGTATGATGCTGCAATAATATCAGTAGTGCTGTACTGGGCAGAAAACTGGACAAGTACAAAGCAGCAAGAATAGAGATTGGATGGTTTCAATGGTAGGTAATTAAGATGTATTTTAGGAATTAGGTGGTAACAGAGAATGACAAAGAAGGTGGGTATGGTTAGACAAAGGAGACTGAATGAAGTTGGAGAGAAACAGTGTTTGTCCTGTGAAGGGTACATGTATGAAAGACAGTAGGCAAGGAAGGTGGAAAGTTGAAAAGTGCATAGAATGACACAAAGATGAAGACCTAACAGAGGGTGAAAGGATGGTCATGATGGAGATTGCAAATAATACAAAGAAGTCTAGAGAACCAGACACAGGATACAGCAATGTGGAGAAGAATAATTAGAGCAAAAACTGCAATACTGAACTGGCATAAGACTTACTGACTAATCACTAAATATTAATCTTCCTGTGCCCCTTGAAAGTGGCATAAATAAAATCTGATCAATAATTGTTTGTGACTAAATTCTATTACATATTAGTTTGAATGCATAAGCGTACTCACCAACCCTAACTATCCATTCTTGATTTTTGCTATTAAAAAACATTTCTTAAGCTTTCAAACAGACATAATATGATATAAATCAAGTATTAGTTGTAAGAAATATTACACCAAAAATTATTTTTAAAAATCCTATGTCTCTAAACAGTTGAAAAGAATTTCTAAACATACTGTGTTAAACCTTGAACTGTAACTTAGCTTATAATGCCTCAAGGAGGCTGGACATTACAATTAATTCTATTAATTTTATTGGTAAAAACAAATGTAAGCCTTTAAGGAAAAAAGATAAAAGAGAGTATACCTAGTTTAGTGGTCTACAGACACTACAAAAAGGAAAGTTCAGCTTTTTTTTTTTTAATTATGTAGATAACCATTATATACTATTATTACATAATCTTTTAATTTTTCAAACAAAATACTGATTGAAAGACATCAAGATTTTTAAAATTAAATTTTGAATAAAGAGATGCAATGATGAACTTGGAGTGATGTTGTACATCATTAATATTGAAAGTTTAATTAGTACAAAATAACTAACTTGATAAATCCTAAAAAGAATCTTATCTTCAAAGATTAAAATCTATAAAATTTCAGCCTTGCTGAGATAACTTGCTAAGTAGAATTCTCTTTCATATACATACAATAAAAAGTTAGGAGATTCTCCACAAAATTCTTCCAAACTCAAAATATTTTTTCGCTTCTGTTTCTTCTTCTTTGTTTCTTTCACATCAGTGATTTTCTATATATATAGTATTTAGGTGATATATAAATGAAACCTATGAATAAACTTCATCATTCATTGAAATTAATATTTTGATATGGCAAACCATACATTGAAGACACAAAAATAATGAAAAACAGTTATATACATCTTAGTTCCAATAATATAGTGTTTTAAAACTTTTCTTTACAAAAATATGCAAAGAAGCAAAGATTAAATAGAAAAAGTAAAATAGTTATGATGAAAGTACCAATTTATGCAATTTTTTCAAGAACAAGTCTTTCACCTGTTTTTTAAAATGAAAGAATTTTCAGACTTTAAAATAGGAAATATATATTTAATAATATGATTTTCTCTGACTTTCCCTACATGTACGATTATTTAAAAAGGCATTAACATCTAATCAAATTTTTGAGCTGAAAGTATAAAAATCCAGACTGGCTTAGAAAAATGTAAATGCACATGACAGGAAACATGAAATGTTTTCAGAACTGTAAAACAATTTGTATTGCAATGGTGAAAAAACGTGAAATTATTACTTAATAAAATTAATTTACATCATTCTTATGAACTGTAAGTCAAAAGAGAATTAAAAGAAAACACAAGATATTATCTTAAAATCAATCTTAACTAATTTAGAATGATTACCTGCTAAGAAAACCTATTTGTTAAAATTTTCTTAGTTTATTATATAACAGCTATCTTTTATTTTTCCTCCTTATTTTTTCTAAATTTTTGTTGTGAAAAAATATTTACCTTCAATAAGTTTTGAAGTTCAATTTAATTTAAGTCACTCATGAGAAACCTTTATCAACAACAAAGAAACCTTGTTAGCAACTAGTAAAAAATTACAAAATGCATACAAAATAATATGAAGTACCTAAGGATTATTACAAGCATGTTTCTGTAAATACCTATTACTTGAAAAAATTGAGATACTAAATAACCGACACCATATACCTCAACATGTTTAATACTTAATTTCTGGTTTGCAAAAAATTAAAAGTGTACTTCTGGAGAAAGATATGAAATGTACTGAATTTCATTGGGTTTTCTTTTCTCAAATTGTAAGTTTTATGCTTTTTTCGTTTTATTGGCTAGTGGTTACATAACTACAATTGAGAAGTTATTCAGTGAACGTACACTAATGTAACAAAAAAAGATGAGATTCAATAACTAATTTTTGGTTATTAAAAAAAACTATTACAGACACACATGCAGAAAATGCTAGAATCTTATACAATATTTATGTAAAAATTATCAATACAAAATTCTTGGTCTATAGTACAACCAGAGTTATGCAATATGTCAAATTTTAAAATGGTAACCAATTTTCATTTGAGGGGAAAAAAAACACTTTAATATGCATTACTTACTTTTGAATCATCATCAGCTTCTCTTTTGAGGACATAAGAAGGTTCAGTTCCCACTGAAAGATTGTTTTATTAAAAAAAATACATAAATGCCACAATGCAACTATGGTCATTAACACAGAAGTTTAAAAACAACAACAACAAAAGTTAACATTTTCTTACACTCAAAATGTATTTCCAATAGATTCTTACCTTCTCTAACAGAATAGCTTTTCCCTTTATGTGAGCAAATGTTCGCTCACCAGTAGCCTTGATATTCCCACCTCCCTCATGTGTTTTCACATGAAGCAGAGGCATGATAGCATACATATGAGCATGTGACAACCCTCCACCAATATGAGTGATGTATGAGACATCTGTTCAGTTGTTGGAATGGATCATAACTGACCGGTTCTGAACAGATGAAAGGAAGTGAACCAAAGCCCGACAGACAGCAAGCAGTTCCAAGACATTGATGCATAGATGACTCATCAATAGACCAATGGCCCAAAATCTCCAGCATATCCTGATACCTGCCCTGACCTAAAAGAAAAGCATCTGTGAAGAGGTGCACCTCTAGACAAAGAGGAGGAAGAGGAACACCCACTGTGGTAATGTCTCTGTCCAACCATCAGGTCAAGCTCACATGAAGGGAAGGAGGGAGATGGATGGGACATCTAAGGGATCCTGAACAAGGTCCCACTGAAGAGGTTGCATGTGGACTTGACTGAGGGGCATTAGGACCTCCAAAGAAGCCCATGTCCCCAAAAGAGATAGAAACTTTCACACAGTTAGAGAAAGAGAGAGGAGGAAATGGACTGAACCAGAAGCTCCAGTGATTGCAGGCGAAGGGTGGGCCTGGCTGAGACAGATGTTGAAAAATACCCCAAGATGAACAAGGTATTGAGTAAGGGAGAGGAAGTTCTCTTGAAGAAGAAACTGAGTGTGAAGGGAAGAGGTAGTATACAAAGGAGCTAAGCAGTTAGTCATCCATATAATAGTGGAAACGAAGGTCCTTGGAATGGAGAAGACAGGCAAAACCTTAACAACCCAACGAAAAACATAGGGAGCTGAAGCTAGAACAAATTGAAGAGCCTGGAACTAGTAAATGCAACCACAACAGGCAAAAAAGATGCTGGGGATATGGAAGTAATCATCTGAGATATCTAACATACATGGAACAAAAGGGCATCCTGACCCAAGATATTGCAACTAGAGAGGAACTATGATTGCAGCAAGAGTGAAAGAGGACAAGCCTGTAAACAATCAAGGCATGAGTCTCCACTGAAAACCCCTCAGGGGAATAATGAAGAGCCTCAGACAGAAGGTGGATTGAGGAAAGGGAACAAAGAATGGAGGATAACGTAAGACAGATACTGAAAAATTGAGGTTGGGAAAACATTATCAAAGTATTGAGATTCGATCCCCACAAAGGCAAAAGAGAATGTAACTGCTGGAAGTCTAAAAAGGAAAGCAGACCTATGGTAGACCATAGCTTGAGCTTCCATAGTACGTGGG